CATTTCAGAGATTTTCATCTCTCAGAAAGTTTAGCCTGGTAAAGAGAAGAACTGGTAGATTTGTCCTCTCTAGGCAGGACTAGATCAAATGGAACAGTACGTTTTGTTTGATTATTAGAAGACTCTTTTTAATAGCTGCCAGTTGATAATAGATCCAATTACTTTAATGGGTAGTGGCTCTTTCTAGCTGGAGACCATCCAGCACAGGCTGGGCAGCCATCTGTTAAGAATCTCCTACATTCTAGATTTCCTGCACTGAGCAGTAGGTTACACAAGATGGGGTGCAAGGGCTTCCTCCAGCCCTCCAGTTCTCTGATTGTAGAATACAGGTTAATATCTCATGAGGTGTGTCCTTTGCACTATGACTAGACTATAAATTACCCACTGCTAGTTCACTAAATCCATGCCCAGGAGACATTAATACAGACTTTATCCAGCGCAATGTCATTAGTCCACAGTACATGCAACTCTTTCACGAGAGAGGTTTTGTTGGTTTGTTTTTAAGAGCTAGATATCCATCTAGACGGTTTATATCAGATGGCTCAGCACTCTTCCAGAATGAGCCAAAATGAGCTCTGTATGTCTCACAAGCTGTATGGCATGAAAAGACCTGAATACTAACACCAGTAATATCTAAGGGAATATTTATAGTAATTCTCCTTTGATACTGTTTTTGATCTTTCTCAGTTCCAGCACACTGAAAGGTTGTTCTAAGCAGTAATTCATCCCAAAAGATAGACACCTCTAAACATAATTACTATTTTCTACTCATAGATATTGCTGAATATCACTTTCTAATTCCATGTTCCTCTAACATGGGCACAAAACTTAAGATTTCTGTCAGTGACATTCCTTTACAGTGTTCTTTCCTTAAATTTTCAAAACCATGTGTTTCCTTGCCATATAACTCTAAAGGTTAGCACTTGTTCAAAGCTCTGCTGTTATTATAACTTCCTCATTTATTCATTCCTGATAAATTTTCTAGTCTTAAAAACCTGTCACCTTTGTTAACATATCTGTATTAAAAATGTCGCCTGATCATAAAATTGGACAGACTCAGAATGGAATAGAAATCATACAAGCCATTAACATCTGATTCAAAATAAATGTCATATTAATGTGTGCCATTTGTTCACCACTAATGGGGTTCTTCAGAGCTTCTTCCCTCCAAAGATGTTAGAACATTTTCCTAATATCAGCTCAAGATTTTATTTTTAGAGGCATCAGTACCACTTCTCAAGCGACATTTTGGTGTTAAGTTATTCTAGGGACTTGAAATAAAAACATATAACCAGAAGACATGTTATTCAATTATCATATATATAATTTTGATTATGTAAGAACCAGGTGCTAAAACAATATAATGGAACTACGTGGTGTGATACATGCACCACAGGCAGGACCTTTTCTGTGTCTAACTGGAGCAAGGCAGATGCTCAAAGCAGATTGTGCTATGGCCAAAATGAACATATATATCCTGCCTTAGCAACTGCTGCTTAGTTCATCCTGTATAGTATATTCCTCTTTCTCTCATCAACAGTATCTTCTGCCAAACATGGAAATTGTCAGGACCCTGAACAAGGAGGCATGTAAATGTCGATTGCGAAAATCGCTTTAACCTTTTTCAACCTTTTACATTCAAGCTTTCTCAGAATCAGACCATTGGAATTACTTAATGTAATATGGCACCTCTTCCAGTGCATTTAATTATACAAAATGTTCCATGCAGGAAGCATTCCTTTTTCTAGAGAGTACAGAATAGCTATATTCAGTATGCCATTTTATCAGACATCTTTTATGTCAGGATCAAGTAAGCCAAGAAAGGCACTGCAAAAGTTGCATATTAATTAATATATTTATTGTTTATAATTTGCTTAAAGAGTCCTTGGGACTAATTAATTGCAGAATAAAGTTGAATTAATAAATACATAAATAATATTAAATCAAAGTCATTGAGCTATGAAGAAAACAGTACAAATTACATTTCAGTTATGCTTATCAAGCAACTAGTGGGCAACTCATAAGATATATCCCTGTTGTGAAATTTGATATCAGATTTTTTTCCTTTTCCTTAATTAATAGACTGGTTTGTGTCAAAATACTATCTCATGTGTAATTTTTCAGTACAGAATTCTCAAAAAGTATAGCCATAACAGTTACCTGCCATAATGTTAAACAATGCCCCCAATTATCATTTATAATTTTCTTTCTGTAAACAGAAAAACATCCAGGAAACAACTGGATCCATGCATCCAAGAAAACAACTAAGTATGCAGGTAAATCTCTTTTGTCCCAGTCAATGTTACAGACTGTGATTTGGAAAAAACAACAACAACACCTAACCCAAATGCTTCAGGAAGTAGAATTTAGAGCCTATAGAGACTTTTCTTTCTAGAGATCACTAAAAAATGGGACAACATATTTCAATAAATTGTCTGAGTTGTCTTCAAAACAGGGGTTTATACATTTTTCTCTCTTCTGTCAGTAAATTATGCTATTAGCTACTGCTGCTGGTGCTCTAATATTTATTAATATTAACAGAAGGCTAATATTTCATAAATAAATAAATACATTTAAACAGACAATCTGAAAGCTTAACACATATGTAAAGATGCTTCCTTAATTGTTCTAGTGGCAATGAATTTAGGTAACAGAGATCAGTAGACAAATTGTTTTGGAGATTTTTATCTTATATTACACAAACAACTAGACACACTATAAGGGAATTGCAAATGGTAATGGTAATCATCTAAACTTTGGAGATACTATCTATTTAGAGCCAGTGTGGTGTAGTGGTTAAGAGCGTGGGACTGGGACTCAGGCGATCTGGGTTCGAGTCCCCGCTAGGTCATGGAGCCAAATGGGTGACTTTGGGCCAGTCGCCGACTCTCAGCCCAACCTACCTCACAGGGTTGTTGTTGTGGGGAGAAGATGGAAGAGGAGAATGATGTAAGCTGCCTTGAGCCCTTTGTAGGAAAAAGGCAGGATATAAATAAATAAATAAATAAATAAATAAATAAATTTAAACTTGCACTCATATCTGGATAGTTAAGACCACCAGCAGCTAGGCAGTTTCTCATATTTTGGATAATAAGTACCTAGTATCTAAGAAATACTCTTACTCCTCACAAACACAAAATGCAGTCAGACCAAAACCATATTCCCACACAAATTTCAAGGTGCTCTGAAATACAAAGGACCACTGCTTCAAATGAAAACATATCTGCCTAAAATATATTGGGCATTTGTACTCATTATGTATGTATAAATGCTCCATCTGGCACCAGCATGAGGTCCATCGTCATGCTTTCCTGGTTTCTCCTATCCATTGAAAATATTTATTATTGATATGTTTTACGATCTTTCTGAGAGGTTTCTTGGGCAGGAGCAACTCAAACCTACTTTGAATCTTAATAAAAGCCAAGAAGTTTCAGGTGCATTGAACTGAATATTTTATTTAGGATTTAGTTAGACCACTGGCCTTGAATCACTTCGATGATTATAGAAGGTGTGGAGAAACTTGACTGTGCTCTCTTGACCTACATGTGTCCATCCAAGCACATTTCCTTATTCATTTGATCAAATAAAAATGGCACTCAACCCTTTCACATGTGCTGAAGTGAAACTTTGCTGTTGAGATTCAGTAAGATCGTTGATCTACTAGGTTCTAAGGCAGTTAAGTGTCCAGCCCCCTTCACACACATACCCATTGCTTCCCACAACACACTATTTTGTGGTCCTGAAACATTTCAGTTTTACTTTCTAGACTATGCTAACTGGAATAGTAGTGAAATTTATGTGATGTGCCTTCAAAAAATAGAATTACCCCACACATACCAGTTTGCTCTTGCAGATGCCTTCCAGTCCCCATATTAGCATTACAAAAAGATATATTAGAATGAGATTTTAAGTGGGGCTTTATTGCATAGAATGGATGCTGAGCTCCACTTTGTTTTAGTGTAAGACCATCCCAAAACCATTTGGTAGTGGACAGTATACAAAAGTTTAAATAAATAAATATAAAAACCATGATTTTCTTTATTGATTTTGTTTCTATGTTAATTTTGCAACTCACACTTTCAATAGACCAGTGTTTCCCCATGTCCACAGAACAAGCAGTTCCTTCTTATGACACATTAATAAACGCAATACCCAAACAATGTATTCAGCATATTAAATCACAACTAAAAATAGATATAAAAGGTTTGCGTAATGTTACATGTAATTTCATGTACTAATTTGAATGGGAAAACATGTTAACTAAAATAATTGAGTAGTCTGAAAACTTTATAATTGTTTTTATGTGAAAAACCCTCTGCTTTAGTATATTAGAAATCACACAACATATATAAATATTAAACAGAAAAAACATTATCTGTGAAACAAAAATCTCTGATATACTTTGAGAATTTCACCCAGAAATATCAATGGAATTTGACATGAAAGAAAATTGGGCTTCTAAGCAAAACTCCATTTCATTATTTTAAATTTCTATTTCATTTAAACTGCAGCATTCCTGTTTTTTTCCTACTGTATTCTACTACAGTATTCATCACAAAATGAACAGTAGCATTCATCTCATATGTCTTTTAATTTCTTTTAAGATGTGTCTTTTAATATAATTCAGCGTGTCTTAACTTTATTTTTGTTATTTTAAAGTTATGATAACCTGTCCATCAATCTATCTATGCCAGTCCTCAGACATACTATCAGAGTAGCTTACAATTCATTAAAAAGGTCTTCACAATAATTACTAAGCTATATTTAAACAAATGAATAGGCAATATATAGAAGTGGAATGCAACAAATATAAAAGTAAAAGCCGTATGCATTCTTTCTAAAGGGGGCTTTCTCCTGTCTGTATTGTTTTCTTTCCTTCCTTCTTTCTTCTTGAACATCAGTTACCACATATGAATTTTACAATGAAATAGAAAAGCTGGTCCAGATGTCACTCTTACTATTAGCTCAAGAATTAATCATAATTTTGAAGTAATTATTACCTTCTATTAGAAGTTCTTGTCCATGACTGCCCAACAGCGTGCGAGACAGGAAAGGAGCAAAATCCACAAATATTTCCCGAAGGAGTGGGGCCACTTTTTCCAAAGCTCTCTCAAGCTTTGCCGTGATGCTGTTGAAAACAAAGCACAATAGGTCCAGAGATGCAAACAATCCAAGCCATGATGCAGAAATACCTACCTGCAACACCTGCTAAAAGCAGATTTCCAGGAGTATAGAGGGCTACAGGGAGAAAAGGGAACTGGCAAAACTGGTCTTCCCCTTCTGCTCTCAATATCATCTGTATAGCAGCTCTGTGCAATTTTAGATTCAACTCAGTACTCTTTTAGCAATGCTGAGGAGTGCTACCATTTTTGCTCAACTTTCAAACAATTCCTGTGTTTATAAAACATAAAGCATATATTAACAAAATATGCATTTTCTACATATGGCAATGCAAGTTATTACTGCTTCCCATTCAAATAACCTTTCATGTCCTGTGTCATCCATAAATAATTATTTATTTATGCAAAGTACAACTGCTAGCTTCTGGTATGTATTCTCTTGGGTTATCTAGGCCATCTTCCTAGAAAGCACAGTTAAGCATTATTTTACCTCCAAAGGACAACTGATTGCATTCTTATGCTTTGAACTGTATGAATATTACCAAACATGTTTGCTTCAAAAAGGGTGCAAGGTTAACAAAAAATAGTCTTAAAAATTAGGTTTAAAATTGTTCTTAGGTATATGCTGTATGTTCATATGTTTGTATGTCTATAGGTTTTATACTGGATTTTTAAGGAATTAGTTTTTTTAATTGTCTGGCTACTGGACAGTATAGAGACATAATAAATAAAAAGGAATGAAATGAAACCAACTTTTTATTCATCTCAAAAGTTTCTACCTATTCTCAACAGATTACATACACAAAAACATATAACATACATAAATATTTATAAAGGTATTAAGCCATTGCCTAACTGTAAATACATAATATTTCCCAACATGGGGATGGAAAGATTTGGGCTCCTTTTGACTAGCACAACTGCTATTTTCATGAATTGTTTGTTTAAATAAGAAGTAACTGGAAATTACTTTTCCTGCTCTGAAGTGCCTCATGTAGAAAGCTTAAATCAGCTAACTGCTCTGCAGGGCTGGAGGACTACAGATGTAACCTTAGCCTTCTTGGTTATTCCTCCTTGTATAAGATGACCATAATCCTGTGAGTATCTCACTAGAATGTTCCCTTAGAGGCTTTAAACAGTGATGCCATACTGTGCCTAGCTTCATCTGTCCAATTCATATTTCCAGATAACCATCTAGACTTGAAAGGCAAGAGTTTTACTTAAGTGGCCAATGACACCAACTAATACTGCGATGCCACTGACAGCCACTTTTCCCTAACCTCAGTCTTCAAAAACTAAAGGATATCTAAAGGAACGCCTGCTTCCATATTTGCCCTCCAGCCCCTTGAGATCAGCAGCCGAGGCCCTCCTCTGGGAACCTTCCATGAAAGATATTAGGAGGGTGAGTACCCGGAGGAGGGCTTTCTCTGCAATGGTGCCCCATTTATGGAATGTACTCCCCAGAGAGGTCCGCCTGGCGCCGTCGTTATTTGTTTTTCAGTGCCAGGCCAAGACCTTTTTATTTAAACAATATTTTAATAATTGTTGACATTATTTATTGGTTTTAAAATATATAGCTAGGATGTATCCAGATTTTATATGTATCTATTTGTATTAGTATTTATTTATGATGTTGGAAGCCATCCCGAGGCTTATGCAAATGGGACGGCATACAAAAATTCCAAATAAATAAATAAAACAGTAAGTTTGTGTCTAGTCATGATGCAATTCAGTAACCTAAGAAATTCCTGTGACCTTAAATTCTTCCTGTGCCATAAATTTAAAAAGTACCTTAAGTTAGGCACCCTTTTTCTGTCTCATATCCTCTTTGGTTTATTTACACAAGGAGGAAAATATTTACCTATTGTACGGATTTTTTTTCAAAATTATAAACCTCAATGAAGGCTTATGTAGGTGAGGTAGAAAAGGAACCACAATGCATGTGCATGCGCATGCACACACGGACACAAGAAGAGCCATGCTGTATCAGACCAAGGGTCCAACTAGTCCAGCACGCTGGACTAGTCCAGAGAGAGCTCCGTCTGTCCAAGCTCCTCAGGCTATCTGAATGCAAACTATCTGCATGATGAAAGGAATGACTGGACATTCTGGGAGTTGTAGGCCATTTTTCTATTTAAAACTGCAAAGGACTCTGTCTTACAAGTGTAATACTATGCCTGATTAGACAACTATATTCATGTTTCACAGTCAGCATTTACTGTGCTGGGCCGGAACACTAGGAACTGTACAAATTCTTTTCCATCTACATATGCACTGGATTGCTGCGTGAGAGTAAGTTTTCTACAGTATAGTTGTACTGAGCATTTATGCTGACCTGTGGATAGTCATTCTATCAAAGATTATAATAAGCTTGTTTTCCTACATTATTCTTATGTACCATAATGAAATATGCAAAGAAATGTGTAATGTATTAATTAAATGATGAGAGAGAGAGAGAGAGCGCGCGCGCGCGCTTCTGTTCTTCATAATTATTGGAAAGCTTCAATTGCTTTCCAGTGGGAACTGAGCAAAAGTATCTGCAAACAACTGGTTATTACTAGCCTTTTATTTTCCTACAGTAGCATTTCTTTTCATAGTAGTAGTTTCATAAAACAATTCAGTCATTTTTAACCAGAAGTGCCACAAAATAACACTGAAGGGAAAACATAAAGAATTAGGTTGTTTCTTGGCATACTATAACACATATTTTTTAATTATACTTATTTACATAAACACACACATCCTTAACATAGTTGTGATATTAACAAAAATATTATCTACGGTTCTCTTGAAGACAAGGATTTTTCTGCCCAGGGTGTATTGTATAAGAGATTTACTATATCACCAGAGACATGAAATGGCTCCTGAAAAGCAGTAATCACTTACGTATTTTTCTGTTTAAATGCAATTCTGCTGTACAGAAAGAGCAAAATTCTTCAAAAGATATGGTTCAATATAGTTTATTCAAAATAATGTTCTATGTGAAATCCCTTTTCAAAATAGAAGATATTTAATCCTAAGAGAAAGCTTCTACTTATTAGTTTTTTATGGCTGCAATCCTATACATGCTTACCTGGGAGAAAGTCCTATTGAATTGTATGGGCTTTTTCCCAAATAGACATGTGTAAAATTGCACTGGTAATTACAGAGGAAGTACACAATAATATCTTCACTTCTGCAATTAATGTTTAAGTGAACACAATTCAGCAGTCACAAGACAGGAATCAATAGATTATTCCCTAAGCAATAGAGCTGCATGCATAGCCAAAAGAAGCAGACAGAAAAAGATTCTCCAAATGCATTGGCAAAGCACATACACATAGAACTCTGACCTATTTAAAAATGACCTTTTTTTTCCTAGATAGAGCAGTGAGCAAAATTAGACGTATAATCTATTTATATTTTTAACATATAGGAAGCTGAGATGGATAGGCTTTATCAAATTTGGCAGCTATCAAGACCCACAAGAGCAGCTTGTAGCAAACACAGTTTTATAAAGTATTATATCTCAGGGGAAGCCAACCATCTGCCCTGTAACATCCACTTTTCCCACATTTCTTGAAGCTAACTAAAGGTGCAGAAGAAATTGGTATCCCTTTGTAACATGGCCATTAAAATTTATTTTAAAACCTTAGCTTCAGTTAAGATTTATTGGGATGAGGAAAAATCAATCTCTTGGTGTGTGCAATACATCATACAATTACAGAGTTCATAAAAAAGGGTCATGTAGTCCAGCCCTCTATGCTCTAAGGTAGAATTCAATATACTGAAGCCACTGTTGAGACATGTTTACCCAGTCTCCTATTACCATTATTCAATGAAGAAGGTTCTATAATTTTTCTAGGCAACATGATCCATTGTTCAGTTGTCAGGAAGATCATCATAAATATTTAACCTTCCTGTGACCCAAGTCCATTGCCTCTTGTACTGCCCCCAATAACAATTGATCTTTATGACAACCCTGTACATATTTGAAGATAGTAACCTCTGTAAAGTTAAAATCCTGTGCCCATTTACCTGGGAGTAAGCTACAGTAAACTGAATAGGTCTTACTTCTGAGTATGCACATACAGGATTGTACTGTTAATTTTGTGTTTCTAAGACACAGTCGCCCAGTCTGTGTGGGGACAAAATCTCCGTTTTGTTAATATCTTTCTCTGCTAGATCATCTGCCTACTAGTCTTGAATGTCTGTACCTTTTGTGGGACTACTGCACACACAATAGTAACCCTACCTGAACTACCAGAGGGAATCTTAGGTGTATTATTGAGGTTCCTGCTGGTTCTGGTGGCTAACAACATTCCTGCTGAAGATACTTTGTTTGGGAACCTCAGGATATCATGGCCCTCATGACAATCGTGGGACTGTCCTTATATGTCATTAATTCAACGAATCAGCACCTTGGAGCTGAAAATCATGAAAAACATTGAGAAGTGGCTTGAGTGAAGGTGTAGGAGTCCTTGTGCTGCTCAAAGAACTTTCTGGAGTTTGTCAAGGCTTATTATATGCTGGTCTCAAGGTCACCGTGGAGCCATCAGAGATCCACTGTGATTTATTTGAAAGGCAGTCCCAAGGTAAAATTTCTTGATTCAGCCAGGACTTAGACTCCAGTTACAGTGAATACTTAACTAAGCTGTCCTGAGCACAGTCTTGTCCAGTTTTGTTGGATGAATTTCAGTTCAGACAACTTGAAGACATTGGCAAGCTATTTGGACAGATGCAAGCAACCATTTTCCTGCTGGAACCTTGATCCTTGGCTTATACAAACTGGCATGCAGGCAACAGCCGGAAGGGTCAGAGGGATGACTAATGTCTCCTTGTGAAAGTGGTGGTGATACCAATCCTGATAAAAGCTTCCCTGGATCCATAAAATCTTAGTAACTTTATGCTGGTGGCTTACAAATATTTCTTTTCTGGACAACAGATTTGAATAGATGTTGTTGCCAACCAAATCCAGATGGTCTTGGATGACACTGATTATCAGGATCTATTTCAGTCAGTATTCAGGCCAGTTTTGGTTGCCCTGTATGACAGCCTATGACACGAGAGAGGCATGGGAACTGTGAACCTGTTGATTATCCTTGATCACTTGGCAGCTTTCAACACCAGTGACACAGTTCTCTGAATTGAAGGGTAGGGGTAATGCACTGCAGTTGTTTTTCCCCTGCTTGGATAGTTGGCTCCAGAAGATGGTAATAAGAGGATACTGCTTGGCATCCTGGAAGTTACAGAATAGGGTAGTTGTTTTCCCCCCATGCTATTTAATACTTACATGAAACTTTTGAGTAGGGTCTCAGGAATTGTGAGGTGCTTTACCATCAGTATACTGATGACAAGCAGCTGTATTTCTCCTTTCTATTTTTCTAAGGTGAGGATGTGGATGTGTTAATGGGATATTAGACTAGATGGAGTTTCATAAGCTGTAGCTCAATCCCATCAAAGCTGAGATGCTGTTAGCGGGTGGTTCTCCTTGTTCCGCAGGGTAGTGCACTCCCCCTGCAGCAAAGAGCCTTCAGCTAGTTGCTCAATTATACCACCAACAGAAAATCATAAAACGGTAACTGAGCTTCTGTAGTTTGTCATCTTCCAAGGTAGATTACTGCAACTGAAATTACATGGAGCTGCCTATGAAGATGATTTATAAACTGCAGTTTGTGCAAAATGCATCAGACAGATTGGTAAAAGGGACAAGAAGAAGTGAATGTATAACACCAATTCTGGCCTCCAACACTGAAAGGCTGTACATTTCTGAGCCTGATTCAAAGTACCAGTTTTGACCTATGAAGTGTTACATAGCTTGGAACTGCAATACCTGATAGAGCACCTCTCCTGTATGAACCTATCATCACAACTCTGACTTTATCTTTAAGACACTTAACAGTTAATCAGTTTGAAAGATAATAGTTTTCTGCTATCTTTTTGAAAGTCTGCATTAAAATATTCAAATCAATGTTGCTCATGAATTTGTGAATCCCTTGTTTTCTAAAACCAGAGGATATTTTATTAACTTTCTTTTATCCCTCATAAGAAGTTTACTTTATTTTTAAATTTATAAATGCACAATGGTAAACCTAACCACACGACAAAGAATAAAGCAAGTAAAAGCACATTTCCATTATGAATCTTTTTAAACTAGAATTTCTATAGAGTCCTATGTGTTTTAATTTTCCAAAGCAAAGAACCATAATCAGAACCTTTTTACCAGATAAAGCATAAATATCCTGTATTAAGTGACACTGAGTATGCATTTATACTTAAGGACCTACAAAACATTCTGGTGGATGACACTAAAATCCTCCTAGCCCAGAAAATTTTGCAAACATCCTCACAGCCAGTAGGCACTCACTAGATGGTTCAAATTCTGCCAACCTGTAGGTTGAAATATAAAGTATACCTCATGTTTTCTGCAGAATCCTCTGGCATTGGTGCAACAGTTTGAACAGCAGGGAGATTCTTACTGGTAGCACCATTCACAAAACTGGATGAGGATGACGATGAAGAAGATCCAGAGTCCACTGCACCTATCCAAAAATAGAGTACATTCAGTTTGAAAATTAACACATTACCTTCACAGTTTGTAAGCCACCTAGGAAGGCTACAGCAATTATAGGTGGCCTATAAATACATGTAAATAAATAAATATTTTTGAATGTCATAACTGTGAAACAATTGGCTTTATTTTAACAACTAGAACGTTCCATGTTGTTATAAACAATACACTATCTCTTAAAACACACCTTTCTCCATTATGAAGAGCTAGTAGCTAAACTAATAAAAAATGTATTCAGACATAAAGTACTGAATTAAATCTACTGGATTTTGTATGGTTAACTCTGTAATTAATATGCTACTATACATATATCAATCACTATTTAACTTGTTCTCATGAACCTTTCAGGTGGATTGTTTAAATTGTGGTATGTGGTACATGCTAGATGCCATTGGCTTAATGACCCACCAGGGCATAGCTTGTCATGTCATCCAAAGTCAAGTAACAAGGCCCGTTTAAGAACAAGCAAAAATTAAAATAAAATAACCCATCAACAGTTTGTAAATGTGGTATATATTACACATGCACACACTTACTTTTGAACTCTACTCCAAATCCATTCCAATACTTTAAACAGACATTTTAATCCTAAAATTGAAAATCTAGAACTGAAATATGTTCCCATATGATAAGTCACTGCCATAAACTCAGTACTTTATTTAAAAATCCTAGAAAGTATGTTCATGAGCATACAAAATTACTAGAAACAAAAAAGAGAATATAGAGGTGGAGGGATCTAGTGACTCTAAATGGCTAAAGTGAAATCTTCACCCTGAATAAATTGTTCAGTATTGTGTAGTAGCCTAGCTTAAAACCCCAAGGAAACATTATAAAGTAGACAGTATCTAGATGGACCAAAAATGCTGTTTTATAGATAGTAGCCATTATAGTTTGCATATGTTTTGCAACTGACATACAATGCATACACACAAAATGAAAACACTTGAAAGAAAATGATACAATTTACACCAGTGTACCCAGAATAACCATCCTGAATTAGAATGAGATGTGTGTAAGGAGCCCTTGATTAGCAATTTTGTTATTAAACCTTTGAAAGACCCGCACTGCATTATCACTAGAATGCACTTATTCTAGTATACATTTAAAATGGGCACTGGGAGAAATGACAGCTTTTCATTCTCTCCCCTATTTTTTTCTAAAGATTGACTCTCTACTTGAAGTAGATGCAAGCATAACAAAGCTTATATAAAGCTTGAATAAAAAAATCAAGGCTAGTAGAGGCCCCTTAGAGGCTTTTGTGGGCAGCAGATGCATTTCATGCTATAATTAAATGCTTCCAGTATGCCTCAGCATGTTTTGTTGCTTTCCACCCACTGACTAAATTGGCTACTTTTGGAGGATCAAATGGGTCCAATATAAAATGCAATTCAATTCCTGATCAAAATGGTTCAGGTGGGGACAATCTTCTTTTCAGCCATCTGCCTAAGCATGTATATACAACAAATCAACTGCAAACCAAAGAAAGAAACCAAATAAGCAAATGAGCAGAAAGAAAAAGGACAGGATTCACAAAAAATATCTGAAGACAATACCTGTTGTATTAATCATACTTTTTGGTGTAGCTCCTGTGGCAGCAAATATATTAGGCGTACTACTTGGTGGGAGCCCACCTCCAGCTGCGGCAGTTCCAACTGTGGTCACTGCTAAGCTTCCAGGAGGTGGTTTCTTCACCGGCACTACAACACTCCTGTTGAGGAAGAGATCAGCACAGAATCAGAAAGGTAACTGAGATTATGGTACATCTGTCTTCTTCCTTCCACACACACTTTGGAGCACAAAGGTCATATAAGGTGAGGTAAACTGTTTCTGCCATTTCGAACTAAAGTCTCACAGTCTCCCTGTAAGACAGGGATGGGCAACACAAGGCTTTCCAGATGTTTTGGCTTGCACTTCTCACTGTCCCTCACCACTAGCTATGGCCGATGGGAGTTCTGCATCAAAGCACCTGGAGAGCTGCATGCTGCCCATCTGTCTGTAAGGACAGATCACACATTTTGAAACTTACACGTGACAGAGGTGAATATCTACCAGTGTTGTTCATATGACCAGAAAAATATTACTCAGAAATTCCTAAACTATGAAAATACCCATGCAATAAGTAATTTTACTGTTCTTGTTGCTTTTAGAAATGCACACTCAATTTTAGCACAGAAACAGAATAGCAATAATTTAAACATAAGTACTACTTCATTAAAACAGCTCCGTTTTGCAGCATGAAAAATAAAGCTATCTATGGTTGCTATTGCTGCACCACTGATCTATCTGAGGCATTACAGAATAACATTAAAAAAAATAATAACCCAGGTCCCTGCTTATAGGAGATTGCTGTATCAATTTTGACAGAGAATGATACAAGGGGAAGAGAGAAAAGACTGAGATCAAGAGAGAAATAGTTAAAAGGCGTCACGGTTTGGGCAGGGATTGGAAGACCCATAGAAACAGTGCTACATACTAAACTGTGAGTGCAAGAAATTGAGGGAAGCAAGAATAAATAGGCAGAGTCTTTTAACAGAGTAGGAACCATTCAATGGTTAGTACATGTTTATGGTCACATCAAGATAATTTATTTAAAAGTGTTTAAAAGACACAATTTCTGCCATGAACTTGTGGAGCTTTTCAATTTTTTCCCCCACAAAAGTGGCAATCCCTTTTCCAGTTTATAAGGGCAGTTTGAGATGTGTTACAAGAAGATGCAGCTCCACTGTGGAAGTGGTTAGACACTCCTAAAATAGATTCCTAGATGAGTAAAACAAGACAGTATCCAGTACTGGCACTGAACGGTTGCTTTTTCTATTGCAATACAAGAACCCAGTATATGTGCAGCAAAAAGCTAGCAATTCTTAAAGTAAACCAGAAACACTTTTTAGGGACAGGTCAGTAGAGCTTCCTTCTGCAAGCTCCATTGCCCTGCCCATTCTGGAAATGAAATCTTGTTTCTGGTTGCATTGTTAATTGCTAGCTCCTCACTACATCCTACTATCAGTAGCTTTTGCTGCCACGTGCGCAATTTTATATATTGCCATACATGTTTAGTCTGATAAGTACAGCCTCCTGGAATCTTTATTCTAAGCATGTGAATGCATCACTTATAGGGCTCTATTGTCTATGAAACAAATAAGAAAGAACAGATATGGCAAGGTCAGACAGTGCTAATAAAGAAATGCATTCCCTCATTTCCTGGGCCAGGCAACAACCTATGCAGCTTTGTATTGCAAAAGTTCAAGTTCCTGCCTTCTGGCTCTTCAATGAAAACTTTGCATTTCTAGAATGTGCTCCTCCAAATAAATGACAAAGCTAATGGGATTTAACTGATTGCCACCCTTATATAACTCTAAAGCTTCCATGCTACTTCACCACCAGAAAATCTCTAGTAAAATGTTCAGTGTTTAATTCTTGGGGAACAATATAGTAATAGATTTATCAGCTTCAAGCTCATCACTTGACTATGCTGACTAGGGCAGAGAGGAGTTGATATACAACATATAGAGGGTCCTAATTTCCTCCTCTATATAACAAGCGGGCACAGATGATCTTAAAGGTACTTTAAAAGAAGAAAAAAGATATCTGAAGTTCTGAAGACTTTTCAGGAAGTTCAAAGACAGATACTTCTTTTGAAAGCAATGTTAGAGATCATACTCAAGGGATAAAATATGCTTTGTAAGTCTTAAATTTCAGCATTCTTTGATAAGCAATACCATTTATAAGAAGATGCTTATGCCTCCAGTTTAGAATTAGGACTGTTAAAATATCCACTAAGGAGTAATCAGTCCAAATTCCAATATGATAGAAGCAATATTCTAGATTCAAATTTGATTTTGTTTCCTTATCTGCATTTTTAGTATTTCTCTACCTAGCCAGTTACAGAATGTTTAAATTAAAAGATGAGACATCTACCATCAAAGAATTCTACCATAAAAATCTCACAAGAGAAAATAATGAAATCAAAATACAGCAAAGAATTTAGGATCAAGTGCTATTTAAACTGAACCATTATATAGGATACGACAAAAATACACCTTTTCAGGACTGCAAATGCAACTATTTAAATTCCCAATTTAATGTATGGATAAACCTGTGCATGACAATTATTTCTTCCACCCTACACTTTACATTGGAAATTGATTTTGGAATATTTCTGAGTTTACAATGATATTTGCTATACATAGCCAAAGCAAATCTAACATTTGTTCATGTATTTGATAAGCAAAACAAAAATATATTTAGTATAAAATATTTAATATTTTTTCTTGACAGATTAAATCTTGAATAAATGTCAATATTTACAGAATTAAGGTGCAACAGTAGCCTTTAACTAGAGGCTCAATGTAGTTAATTCAAAACAACTTTTACATTAGTAGTATGATAAATTTATCATATCAAGGTCCTTTAAAAATGTTAACACACATTGCACACAACATGCAACAAACCATGAAACTCTTACATGCTAAATTAATGTTTACAGCATAATATAGCACAGATATTATGACCAGCTTTTTCTCCCTTTTCAAACGCTCCCTGGAGTTTACATAACACTTTAATGAGGGTGGAGTCAGTGCAGTAACTGGTGAAAGAGAAACTCCTTCCAGAGTACACATGCTAATTTTTTTTTGCATTTTCCTTTAGACAGCTCTTAGGCTAATCCATCAAGCTGCTTATTAAATTAGGTAGGGTTTAAAAGTAGTTTGAGGATTGGTGGGGATGGAATAAAGAAAAACTTTATTCAGTTGTGTATCTTTAAATCACACCCCTAGTCTTTTATATATTGTGATGCCTTTGTTTTAAACCCTTACTTTAATAAAACAAAGATAACAGAATGCTTTCAAATGGCATCTAGTCTGTGATGAAGCACAGGACAGGAGTATTTCAAATCTCATGAAATTTTAGACTGTTATACTAGATGAGTTAATAAACCTGTGGTATCCATACTCTGCTTGAAGGGTGGTATTTCCAGGAAATATGGACATCATTTAAAAATTGGAAATATTCTGGGGACGGTGTTTTCGTTTTCAAGGAGCAATCAAACACAGAGGGAAATACAAAAGGAAATTTGCCATGTTCACTCTAGAATAGGTGTATCTAAAGCAAATAATAACTTGCATTATGCTTCTGTAAATATTACCTACACATATTTTCATGTGAGTTTACAATGAGTCATAACTTTCAGTGCAGACTTCAGGGCCAGAAAAATCTGTTTGTATAGCTCATAATGTAATTACAGCTACCTTAAGACAGATGAGGCAGAAGGCAGCAATATATTGAAACTGATTGAAAAATGCAGTTGTCCAGAAGCACTTGTGGGGAAGAGGTCTCTGAAAAGCTGCTCAAAGCTTCAGAGTTTGAAGTGAAATTTTTGATGTTGTCACTCTCAATCTATTGAACGGCTGACGGACAATCAAACCCGTCTGGCTAGCTGGCAGCTCATTTTGCTGGCAGGTGGCAAACAATTAGACACACCAATTTGTGCCTCCTGATGACATTAAAGCATGAAACTAAGTTGTATGCAGGGCCTAGTGATTTGTGTGAAAGCATTTCAAAAATAATACTCTTTGCCGTGGCAACTCATTTCAGACTGCCACCTTCCATTATGGCTTTGAGTAGTGAAGACGACAGACTTGAGTTACGTGCAGTGCAAGGGCGCTTCTGTTCAATCCGTCATCAGAGCCCCTCGAGACCTCAATCCCTCCTTTCATCAATATCACCTCATCATTTACATTCGATAGTACTTGAACTGCTGAATATATTAAACTACACAGAAGACCTATTTCATAAGATATGTTGAAAATGTTTGTGTTTTACATTTCATTTACAATTCTATGGGCTTTAAAATGAGTTTTACTATGTTTTATAAGGCAGTACTTTCAAACTATACCTCTCATAGCTTTTTCAAAAGTACCCCCCTTTTTTGTAAATACTTCTGCATGATAATAAGCATTTACTTTCTATGTGAATTTGGTCATTTAAGTATTTTTTGCCTTTATACCTTATTATAAACTGGCATTAAAGTATTTTAGCACATAATATTACTCATTGCAACATTTTGATTGTTTACAAGGACATCTTCTTACTATACTAATGATTTTTTTTTGAACAAGAGTTTAACAAGATTTAGGGCAAGTGTGTAGTAGCCCAAATTAAGTTGTATCTAAACAAGTTAAGTTTAGCACATTCTTGTGTAATTAACAGATATAGGCTTAGTTCATAGGATTATGATGGAAAATAACCCATGGTTGCTTCTCTCTCCCTCTTCCTTTGTTTTGTAAAACACCTAGCAATCCTAGAAGAAGCCATTGGTTTGGGAATTGCTTTTAAACAACCTCAGCCACTCACCTTTACGCAAGATTCAGATGTTTTGATAGCTATCACCTGGCTAATTAGGTAGCTCAGGATTGGTTAGCACAGTAAGCCACTGTGGCTTATTTTCCTTCCATGAGCTTATGAACATGGTCATTAGTTTAGTTCAAGTTTAGAAAAATTAACTGCAGTGAATTTCAGACATGTACACTCTCTTGCCTCTTTTTCTTTGTGCACAAGGAGGAGAATGTAAGCCTTTAGTTCCTTTTCTGACTACACCATACTTACCCATTACAAACCTGTGATTAGCTCAGATAAACAGACTGACTGATCCTGGTTTGCCTTTCCACACAGTGAACAGAGGATGGTGGTGCAAATCCAAACCTTATTGTGGCT